CTTGGTGAGATCTGTGGGACAAGTGGGAACTACAGGGCAGAAGAAGGCACCACAGCAAAGGGGCAGCCAGGCTGGACATAGCAGCTCAGGCTTGTAGTTCCAGCACTTTAGGAGTCCCAGGCAGGGGGATCCTTGAGCCCAGGAGTTTGAGACTACGCTGGGCAACATAGTGAGACCCTTGTCTCTACAAAAAAAGGGGCAGCCAGAGTCCAGCCTGTGAACCCAGAAGTATCTGATTTGGATCTCAGTCAGTTTACAAAGTTAATTGTGCCAAGGTTAAGGACGTGCCCATGCCATAGCCTCAGGAGGCCCTGAAGATAATGTGCCCAAGGTGGTTGGGGCACAGTTTGCTTTTTTTTTTTTTTTTTTTTCTGACCAGAGATTGGGTTCACAGTCAAAGCTTTTTTTTTGAGACACAGTCTCCCTCTTGTTGCCCAGGCTGGATGCAGTGGCATGATCTCGGCTCACTGCAACCTCCGCCTCCTGGGTTCAAGCGATTCTCCGGCCTCAGCTTCCTGAGTAGCTGGGACTACAGGGTGCGCCACCATGCCCAGCTAATTTTTGTATTTTTAGTAGAGACAGGGAATCACCATGTAGGCCAGGATGGTCTCGATCTCTTGACCTCGTGATCTGCCTGCCTCAGCCTCCCAAAGTGCTGGGATTACAGGCGTGAGCTATCGCACCCAGCCTACAGTTTGCTTTTATACATTTTAGGGAGACAGGAGACATTAATCAATATTGGTTCATTCTGGAAAGGCAGGACAACAGGAAGTAGGGGCTTCCAGGTCACTGGTAGATTACAAGGACAAAGAGTTGCATTCTTTTGAGTCCTTGATCAGCCTTTCCCTGAATCCACAATTTAGTCTGGCTCAGTGAGTCTTCATTTTTACATAAACAATAGGGCAGAGGAAGCAATCAGATATGCATTTGTCTCAGGTGAGCAAAGTGATGACTTTCTGTTTGGCAGCTGTGAAGATAAGCTATCATTACATTGCCAGGTGAAATTCAACAGAACTGATTTAGGGTAAAGATCTTGAGGCTCACAAGAAATTTCCTTATGGGCAAATTGTGCAGGAGGTATGTAGCTTTTTGGTATCTTCGTAGCTATCTTTGTTTTGTTTTTTTTTTTTTGAGATGGAGTTTCGCTCTTGTTACCCAGGCTGGAGTGCAATGGTGCGGTCTCGGCTCACCGCAACCTCCGCCTCCTGGGCTCAGGCAGTTCTCCTGCCTCAGCCTCCTGAGTAGCTGGGATTACAGGCACGTGCCACCATGCCCAGCTAATTTTTTGTATTTTTAGTAGAGACGGGGTTTCACCATGTTGACAGGATGGTCTCGATCTCTTGACCTCGTGATCCACCTGCCTTGGCCTCCCAAAGTGCTGGATTACAGACGTGAGCCACCGTTCCCGGCATGTAGCTATCTTATTTAGGAATAAAATGGGAAGCAGTTTTGCCTGACATAGTTCTTATTTCTTTTTTTTTTTTTTTTGAGACGGAGTTTCGCTCTTGTTACCCAGACTGGAGTGCAATGGCGCAATCTCGGCTCACCGCAACCTCTGCCTTCTGGGTTCAAGCAATTCTCCTGCCTCAGCCTCCCAAGTAGCTTGGGATTACAGGCACGCGCCACTGTGCCCAGCTAATTTTTGTATTTTTAGTAGAGACGGGGTTTCACCTTGTTGACCAGGATGGTCTCGATCTCTTGACCTCGTGATCCACCCGCCTCGGCCTCCCAAAGTGCTGGGATTATAGGAGTGAGCCACCTGCGCCCAGCCTTTCTTTTTTTTAATCTTTTTTTTTTTTTTTTTTTTAACATGGAGTTTCGCTCTTGTTGCCCAGGCTGGAGTACAATGGCAAAATCTCGGCTCACTGTAACCCCCATCTCCTGGGTACAAGTGATTCTCCTGCCTCAGCCTCAGGAGTAGCTGGGATTACAGGCACCCACCACCACGCCCAGCTAATTTTTTATATTTTAGTGGAGGCATGATTTTACCATATTGGTCGGATGGTTTTGAACTCCTGACCTCAGGTGATCCACCCGCCTTGGCCTCCCAAAGTGCTGGAATTACAGGTGTGAGCCACCGCGCCTGGCCCCAGCTTGACTTTTCTTTTGGCCTAGGGATTTTGGGGTGCCAAGATTTGTATTTTCCTTTGACAAGCCAGTCATGAGAAAGTGGGTGTAGGGCCATCAGCTTTTCTGACTTTTCGCAAGAATCTAGAAATCATATTTAAATGCTTGGCAATTGGTGTAAACTTTCCCATTAACATATGCTGGTCCAGTGGAGCAGGCCAGTGGGCCAGAGTGGGCTCCCAGCCCCCAGTTTATTGCCCCTGGAATGAATGGCTGTTCTTGGAGGAGTCCTCTGACTTCTCGTTTGCCATTTTATGTGCCTGGAAATTGCTCCCAGCGTTCCCAGTGGGCCCTTCTCTGCCGATGGGATGTAATGTATGACCTTGGGCAGCAAGGTCAAATGGTTTGAGGCTGCAGGCCATACGTCCACGAGAGGAGAGCTCTGAGATGGGGCTTGTAGTGTAACCCTAGTGCTTTGGGAGGCTGAGCAGGGAGGATCCCTTAAGGCCAGGAGTTCCTGACCAGGCTGGGCAACATAACAACACCTTTTTTTCTCTCTACCAAAATTAAAAAGTTCTGCTTTTTTCAACAGCGGGCTCAGATTTCAACTCCTTTCTGAAGCCTTTTATTCATCTCTTCATTTGACTAGATAATACATTCACACATTCCAAATTTAAACAGTAAGAAGTATTTATTTTCTTTTTCTTTTCTTGTGACAGGGTCTTACCTTGTCACCCAGGTTGGAGTACAGTGGCATGATCATGGCTCACTGCAGCCTCGACCTCTTCTGCTCACGCCTGTAATCCCAGCACATTTTGGGAGGCCGAGCCAGGTGGATCACTTGAGGTCAGGAGTTTGAGACCAGCCTGGCCAACATAGAGAAACCTCGTCTTTACTAAAAATACAAAAATTAGCTGAGCATGATGGCACATACCTGTAATCCGAGCTACTTGGGAGGCTGAGGCAGGAGAATCTCTTGAACCCAGGAGGCGGAGGTTTCAGTAAGCTGAGATCGTGCCATTGAACTCCAGCCTGAGTGATAGAGTGAGATTTCACCTCAAAACAAAAACAAGAAGACTGGGCAGGGTGGCTCACGCCTGTAATTTCAGCACTTTGGGAGGCCAAGGTGGGTAGATCACATGGTCAGGAGATCAAAACCATCCTGGCTAACATAGTGAAATAACCCCGCCTCTACTAAAAGTACAAAAAATTAGCCGGATGGGCCATCACGCCCAGTTAATTTTTGTATTTTAGTAGAGATAGGGTTTTACTATGTTGGCCAGATGGTCTCAATCTCTTGACCTGGTGATCCGCCCGCCTCCGCCTCCCAAAGTTCTGGGACTACAGGTGTGAGCTGCCGCACCCGGCCAGTTCTTTACATTGTTAACTTTCTTATACTCTTTTTTTTTTTTTTTAAAGACAAGGTCTCGATCTATCACCTAGGCTGGAGTGCAGTGGCTCCAGCAACTTCTGCCCCACCTTGGGCTCAAGCGATCGTCCCACCTTAGCCTCCTGAGTAGCTGGGACCACAGGCACACACCACCACACCCAGCTAATTTTTTGTATTTTTAGTAGAGACAGGGTTTCACTATGTTGCCCAGGCTGGTCATGAACACCTGGACTCAAGCTATTCTCCTGCCTCACCCTACAGATTTGCTGGGATTACAGGCATGAGCCACCAAAGCCAGCCCTGTTATTTCAATTTTAGAGATGTGCAGACTCAGGTTAAAGGAAGGTATAGGTCGGGCGCGGTGGCTCAAGCCTGTAATCCCAACACTTTGGGAGGCCGAGGCGGGTGGATCACGAGGTCAAGAGATCGAGACCATCCTGGTCAACATAGTGAAACCCCATCTCTACTAAAAATACAACAAATTAGCTGGGTGTAGTGGTGTGTGCCTGTGGTCCCAGCTACTCAGGAGGCTGAGGCAGGAGAATTGCCTGAGCCCAGGAGGCGGAGGTTGTGGTGAGCCGAGATCACGCCATTGCACTCCAGCCTGGGTAACAAGAGCAAAACTCCGTCTCAAAAAAAAAAAAAAAAAAAAAAGGAAGGTATAGGATTTGTCCAAAGTCTGAAGCTAAGCTAAGGTGTGGAGTCATGACTCTGAAATCCATATCTCCCCAAATACTGTTCTCTGCTTCCTTAGGGGAAATCCCACAGTCACTTCCTTCGTTCTGCTAGCTATGAACATGTGGTATCTAAAGATTATGCAACGGGCCAGAGAGGCCAGTGCAAACAGAGACACAGAGCAACATCTAGAATGAGGCTGGCATTCTCAGGGACAATGCTGAATTCCCCATACACACAGGTATATGTCCATGCTTTAACTGGTACAAATATGTTGTTTTAGTCAAATCTCTTTTGGAAAAAAACAGCGAGGACCTATTCAAATTAGCTTAAGTGAACAGAAAATGAATTTACTAGAAGGGCACTGTCACCTTTATAGGACCCAAAAGTAATAGGGCCTCAGGGGGCCTAGAAGGGTACATGGGAAGGAGCTCCAGGAAGCAGTTAAACTCTTTTGGTTGCAGGTAACAAAGTCAACCCAAGCACCTCGGTAAGTAGAAAAGAACTTTGTTTGAAAGACACAAGGGTGTCTCCTGGAACCCATAAGCAGGAATGGCAGCAGGCCTGCAAGGAGGCAGACAAGCACTTTGAAACCAAGGAAATCCTATCTGTTCGTCATTTGTCTCTGCTTTTCCTTCTTTCTTTGTTTTTTGTTTTTGTTTTTTTTTTTGAGACAGAGTCTTGCTCTGTCGCCCAGGCTGGAGTGCAGTGGCACAATCTCGGCTCACTACAACCTTCCCTTACCAGGTTCAAGCGATTATCCTGTCTCAGTCTCCCAAGTAGCTGGGACAACAGGCGTGCACAACCACGCCTGGCTAATTTTTATATTTCTAGTAGAGACAGGGTTTCACCATGTTGGCCATGCTCGTCTTGAACTCCTGGCCTCAAGTGATCTGCCCACCTTGGCCTCCCAGAGTGCTGGGATTACAGGCATGAGCCACCACACCCAGCCTCTGCCATGCTTTTCTCAGAATGCAATGATCAGCTGCTCTGTTTCTCTGGTACAGATGCAAGGTGGCCAGAACATGCCTGCTCTCCAGCTCCCCAGTTTCATATGTGTAGTTTCAGTCACAAAGAAAGACTGGTTCTCTCAGCAGATTCCTGGAAGAAAGACTATCTGGCTAAACATGGTTCCCCGACCACCCCAAGTTCAAAGCTGTGGTCAAAGTCAGGATCACGTGGTGCAAATGTGGCTTCCTTGAAACAGCCATCATTTCATATCTCTCCTGGGCATCCTTGTCCTCTGCAAATTGGCTTTCTCTTACCTATCCAGGCTCATGGCAGAAGATGGCTACACCATGGACCTCAAATTTTGTCACATTCCTCCACCCAGCCATGCTAGAAATCAACCAGAACTGTTGAGCCTCAATGCTGACTCCCTTGGAAAGAGAATTTGGTGAGTCCAACCCAGATCCCTGTCTGCCCTGGTGCCATGCCCTGGGGCCAGGAGAAGGGAAAGGGTTCTGTCCTACCAAAGGGTTGCCCTGGTCCATCCCTTGGGGAGAGGGCAGGTCTCAGAAAATGTGGATTACGTCAAGCAAGGTAACTCATGCTGTAATCCCAGCATTTTGGGAGGCTGAGGGGGGACGATCACTTAAGGCCAAAAGTTTTGAGATCAGCCTGAACCACAAAGTGAGATCCCATCTCTAAAATAAATAAATAAATAAAATAAAAATAATCAGCCAGCATGGTGGCGCATGCCTGTGGTCCCAGTTACTCAGAAAGCTGCAGTGAACTATGATCTCACCACTGCACTCCAGTCTGGGCAACAGAGTGAGACCCTGTCTTAAAAAACAATTTTTTTAACGGCCGGGCACGGTGGCTAATGCCTGTAATCCCAGCACTTCGGGAGGCCGAGGCGGGGGGATCACGAGGTCAAGAGATCGAGACCATCCTGGTCAACATGGTGAAACCCCGTCTCTACTAAAAATTACAAAAAATTAGCTGGGCACGGTGTTGCGCGCCTGTAGTCCCAGCTACTCGGGAGGCTGAGGCAGGAGAATTGCCTGAACCCAGGAGGCGGAGGTTGCGGTGAGCCGAGATCACGCCATTGCACTCCAGCCTGGGTAACAACAGTGAAACTCCATCTCAAAAAAAAAGAAAAAGAAAAACAATTTATTTTTCTTTTTGAGACGGAGTTTTGCTCTAGCGATTTTCCTGCTTCAGCCTCCGGAGTAGCTAGGATTACAGGCACCTGCCCTCATGCCCGGCTAAGTTTGTATTTTTCTGGAGACAGGGTTTTACCATGTTGACCAGGCTGATCTTGAACTCCTGACCTCAGGGGATCTGCCTTCCTTGTCCTCCCAAAGTGCTGGGATTAAAGCCATAAACCACTGCGCCCAGACCAAAAAAAAATTTTTTTATTTGATATAAGAAAATGTGCATTGTTTTGTACTGGGCTGATACTTCACAAGATGAGGGCTCTTCCTGTTACGGTTATGGCGTGTCATGGCTGCTAACCTGAAAAGCATCTTTATAAATGAAGGGCTAGCCTCCCTCTTCCACTGAAGCCCCAGAAAAACTGGGCCTTTTCTTTTTAAGGGCATCAGGACCAAAAGCCTTTGTGCACACTAATTCAACCCGGTCAATGTATGGAGCACCAACCTTGATCGAGCCACTGCCAGGCCTGGAAAGTCCAAAAATGATCTGATATCACCATTTCCCCAGTACGTTCTGCCCTGAGTATTGTGTTTGTTAGTCAAGTTCATTTAGAAGTCTATTATTTCTGACACAGCTGGCTTTGGAATTTCCATTTGACTGCATTAGGAGGCACTAAATTGCATGAATTCATCTGAGAGTTGAGATCACAGGAACTAATAACGTACTTGATCTCTTTGCTCACAGTCATCATTTTTTAAAACAAAAATATTATGAAGGCCATTGATGGTGGTGAAATTAATATCCGGTTGGGATTTCCCACACAGCTTCGGAGGCCTATCATTAAGGAGCTGAATCTGAGCCAGACACACTCATTATACGTGTTGCGTTGTCAATGGTTCTGCTGAATGCGTGGAGGAGACATGCACCTTGCAGGGGTAGATTTATCCTATCCAAGCGCAAGTTCCATTTCTTCCATCTGCTGCCTGGATGACTGCGAATGGCTCACTTCCCCTTGCCGAGCCTCAGTAATCATCTCTCTAGACAAGGGCACAGAACCACAGACTAGCTGCTGTGACTTCTGGGAGGAGTGAGGGACTTCACTGAATAGCAAAAGAAAATTTTCACTTAGCACTTCATTAGGAATTGTTTGAATTAACTACAGAGAGCCTGGGTTTCTCATGTGATTTTTATGTAATTAATTAGTTAATTTTCTTTTTTTTTCTTTTCTTACTTGTACATGTCAAGGAATAATAATATTATTATTTTTCAGGCGGGCGTGGTGACTGAAGCCTGTAATCCCAGCACTTTGGGAGGCCGAGGCGGGTGGATCACGAGGTCAAGAGATCATCCTGGTCAACATGGTGAAACCCCGTCTCTACTAAAAATACAAAAAATTAGCTGGGCATGGTGGCGCGTGCCTGTAATCCCAGCTACTCAGGAGGCTGAGGCAGGAGAATTGCCTGAACCCGGGAGGTGGAGGTTGTGGTGAGCCGAGATCGTGCCATTGCACTCCAGCCTGGGTAACAAGAGCAAAACTCTGTCTCAAAAAAAAAAAAAAAAATTAATATTATTATTATTATTTTTAAGAAGGAGTCTGGCTCTATCACCCAAGCTGGAGTGCAGTGGCACAGTCTCGGATCACTGCGACCTCCACCTCCCAGGTTCAAGCGATTCTCCTGCCTCAGCCTCCCAAGTAGCTGGGACTACAGGTGGGTGCCACCACACCCAGCTAATTTTTGTATTTTCAGTAGAAACAAGGTTTCACTCTGTTGGCAAGGCTGATCTTGAACTTTTGACCTCAGGTGATCCACCCACCTCAGCCTCCCAAAATGCTGGGATTACGGGCCTGAGTCACTGCGTCCAAACTCTCCTATGATTTTTTATTTTAGGCTGTTGGAGTGCAATGTCATGATCTCGGCTCACCGCAACCTCCGCCTCCTAAGTTCAAGCGATTCTCCTGCCTCAGCCTTTTGGGTAGGTAGGATTACAGGCATGTGCCACCATGACCTGCTCATTTTGTATTTTTTAGTAGAGATGGGGTTTCTCCATGTTGACCAGGCTGGTCTCAAACTCCTGACCTCAAGTGGCCTGCCAGCCCAGTGTCTTAATGCTGGGATTACAGGCCACATGTAAACTTCTGTCTCTTCCCACTCTTTGTGGTGCTCCCTCCTTTTCTGTACCCTGTCCAGCACATTCCAGCTGCTTCAGCAGCTTCGGACACTGATTTCTGCCTCTGAAGCTCAGGAAGAACACCCCTTTGCTTGGGATCCACTTTCCTCCACTGTAATTGGGAAACTGACCCAGGCAGAAAGCCAGGACAAACATGGGGTTCATCTTGTCTATTTCCCTTTTTCTCAAGGATCATAGTCTATTTTGCCTGTTTTTCAATAACTGAAAACATCTGCCTCTGATTTTTGTCTAGTTTTATAGTTGTTTAAGATTGTTGGGCCAGGTTCAGTGGCTCATGCCTGAAATCCCAGCACTTGGGGAGGCTGAGGTGGGTGGATTACTTGAGATCAGGAGTTTGGCCAACATGGTGAAACCCCATCTCTACTAAAATACAAAAAATTAGCTGGGCATGGTGGCAGGTGCCTATAATCCCAGCTACTCAGGAGGCTGAGGCAGGAGAATCACTTGAACCTGGGAGGCAGAGGTTGCACTGAGCCAAGATCACACCACTGCACTCCATCCTGGGTGACAGAGCAAGACTCCGTCTCAAAAAAATTGTTGGACAAAAGGTCATCATCACTGAAAGTAGAAGTCCTACTTCCACTTTCATTATGTAAACATCTTTTTAGAAGTATAACTGACATACAATAAATTCTTTTTTTTTTTTTTTTTTTCGAGATGGAGTTTCACTCTGTCACCCAGGCTGGAGTGCAGTGGTGCAATCTCGGCTCACTGCAACCTCTGCCTCCTGAGTTCAAGCCATTCTCCTGCCTCAGCCTCCCAAGTAGCTTAAGACTACAGGCACAAGCCACCAGGCCTGGCTAATTTTTTGTATTTTTAGTGGAGACAGGGTTTCACCATGTTGGCCAGGCTGGTCTCAAACTCCTGATCTCGGGTGATCTGCCCACCTCAGCCTCCCAAAGTGCTGGGATTATAGGCATTAGCCACCATGCCCACCCAAATTGTTCATATTTAAAGTATACAATTTGATGAGTTTTGACTGATGTGTATACCCGTGGAACTATTAGCATAATGCAGAAATGAAGATAAGGCTCCTCCTGTTCTTTGAAATTGGAGACAACTGTGTGTGGTGGCTGACAGCTGTAATCTCAGCACTTAGGGATGCCAACGTGGGTGAATCACTTGAGCCCAGGAGTTCAAGACCAGCCTGGGCAACATGGCAAAACCCTGTCTCTACAAAAAATAAAAAAATTGGCCTGGCATGGTGGCTCACACCTGTAATCCAAGCACTTTGGAGGCCAAGGCGGGTGGATCACCTGAGGTCGGGAGTTCAAGACCAGCCTGATCAACATGGTGAAATCTCATCTTAAAAAAAAATAAAAAATAAGGGCTGGGCGCGGTGGCTCAAGCCTGTAATCCCAGCACTTTGGGAGGCCAAGGCGGGTGGATCACGGGGTCAACAGATCAAGACCATCCTGGTCAACATGGTGAAACCCCATCTCTACTAAAGATACAAAAAATTAGCTGGGCATGGTGGTACGTGCCTGTAATCCCAGCTACTCGGGAGGCTGAGGCAGGAGAATTGCCTGAACCCAGGAGGCAGAGGTTGCGGTGAGCCGAAATCACACCATTGCACTCTAGCCTGGGTAACAAGAGCAAAACTCCATCTCAAAAAATAAAAAATAAAAATAAAAATTAAAAAATAAATAAATAAATAAATAATTTTTAAAAATTACCTGGGCATGAGGGCACATGCCTGTGGTCCTAGCTACTCAGGAGCTGAGGTGGGAGAGCCACCTGAGCCTGAGAAGTCGATGGTGCAGTAAGCTGAGTTCATGCCACTAAACTCTAGGATGAGACCTTGTCTCAAAAACAACTCAGCTATAAAACTGGGGTCTGGCACGGTGGCTCATGCCTATAATCCCAGCACTTTGGGAGGCCAAGCTGGGTGGATTACTTGAGGTCAGTAGTTTGAGAGCAGCTTGGCCAACATGGTGAAACCCTGTCTGTACTGAGGAAAAAAAAAAAAAAAATTAGCCAACTGTGGTGGCACGAACCTGCAATCCCAGCTACTCGGGAGGCTGAGGCAGAAGAATCGCTTGAACCCAGGAGGCTGAGGTTGCAGTGAGTGAGTCAAGATGGTGCCACTGCACTCCATCCTGGCCAACAGAGTAAGACCCCACTTAAAAAAAAAAAAAAAAGGCCAGGCGTGATGGTGGTGGTGACTCACACCTTGTAATCCCCCACACTTTGGGAGGCCCAGGTGGTCGGATCATGAGGTCAGAAAGTCAGGATCATTCTGCTAACACAGTGAAAACCCATCTCTACTAAAAATACAAAAAATCAGCTGGGTGTCATGGTGGGCACCTGTAGTCCCAGCTACTCGGGAGGCTGAGGCAGGAGAAACGCTTGAACCCTCGAGACGGAGGTTGCAGTGAGCCAAGATCACAGCACTACTCACCAGCCTGGCGACAGAACGAGACTCTGTCTCAAAAAACAAAAAAACCCCCAAGACTCAGCTATAAAACCATCTAAGCCTGATGCCTTTTAAAATGATTGAATACAAAAGAAAAAAATGAAAAAATAATTGAATACTTAATTTTTCTAATTTCTTTTATTTTTATTTTATTTTATTTATTTATTTATCTATTTTTGAGATGGAGTTTTGCTCTGTCTCCCAGGCTGGAGTGCTCTGGTGCCATCTCAGCTCACTGCAACCTGCGCCTCTTCTGTTCAAGTGATTCTCGTGCCTCAGCCTTCCGAGTAGCTGGGACTTCAGGCACAAGCCACCAGGCCTAGCTAATTTTTGTCTTTTTAATAGAGACAGATTTTCACCATTTGGCCAGGCTGGTCTTGAACTCCTGACCTCAGGTGATCCACCCACCTCAGCCTCCCAGAGTGCTAGGATTACAGGCATGAGACACTGTGTCCAGCTTCTAATTTATTTGATAGTTATTAGTGTATTTAAGCCTTCTCCTTTTTCTTCGAAAAATTGTAACATTTTGTCTTTTTTTTGCAAGGAAGTAATTTTTCTTTCTTTCTTTTCTTTTCTTTTTGAGACAATGTCTCACTCTGCTGCCCAGGCTGCAGTGTGGTGGCACAATCTTGGCTGGCTGCCTGCAATCTTGGCTTACTGCAAGTTCCGCCTCTCAGGTTCAAGAGATTCTCATGCCTCAGCCTCCCAAATAGTTTGGACTACAGTTCTAAGCCACCATGCCTGGCTAATTTTTGTATTTTTAGTGGAGACGGGGTTTTGCCATGTTGCTCAGACTGGTCTCAAACTCCTGGCCTCAAGCAATCCCCCTGCCTCAGCCTCCCAAAGTGCTGGAATTACAGGTTTCCCTAGATTTTCTAATTATTTGTCAGAGTTATACGTAATAGCCTTTTGTAATTCTTTTTTTTTTTTTTTTTTTTTTTTTTTTGAGACAAGGTCTTGCTCTGTTGTCCAGGCTGAAGGGTGATCTCAGCTTAGTACAGCCTCCACCCCCTGGGTTCAAATGATTCTTGTGCCTCAGCTTCCTGAGTAGCTGGAACTACAGGCATGAGCCACCACACCGAGCTAAGTTCTGGATTTTCAGTAGAGACAGGATTTCACCATATTGCCCAGGCTTGTGATTCTTTTTTTTTTTTTTTTTCCTTTTTTCTTTCTAAAGAAGAAGCTTGTGATTCTTTTAATTGGCTATTATCAGTAGTTGTATGTCCTTTCTTACTCATGACTGCTATTTATTTATTTATTTATTTATTTTATTTTTTGAGATGGAGTCTCTCTTTGTCCCCCAGGCTGGAGTGCAGTGGCATGTGCCACCCCACCTGGCAAATTTTTGTATTTTTAGTAGAGACAGGGTTTTGCCATGTTGGCCAGGCTGGTCTCAAACTCTTGATCTCAAGTGATCCGCCTGCCTTGGCCCCTCAAAGTGCTGGGATTATAGGCATAAGCCACTGTGCCCGGCCTATTTTTTCTTTCTATCCTTATTCAGGCTTGTTGGGATATTTTTCCTTTCTGTTTTACTGGTCCTTTCATCTTTTCAACTTTTTTTTTTTTTTTTTTTTTTTTTTTTTAAGACAGAGTCTCGCTGTGTTGCCTAGGCTGGAGTATACAGGCACAATCACAGCTCAAGGCAACCTCTTGGGCTTAAGGTCCCTTCCTGCTTCAGCCTCCCAAGTAGCCAGGACTACAGGTGTGCACCACTACACCAAATGAAATTTTTTTTACTTTTATTTTAGGTTTAGGAACACCTGTGCAAGTTTGTTATGTAGGTAAACTCGTGTTAGGGGGGTTTATTGTATAGATTTTTTCATCACTTAGGTACAAAGCCTGGTAACCAAGAGTTTTTTTTTTTTTATTGTTTCCCTTTTTCCACCCTGCACCCGTAAATAGGTTCCAGTGTCTGTTGTTCCCTCTTTGTGTTCATGTGTTCTCATCACTGAATTCACACACACACACACACACACACACACACACACATATTTGGAGACAGAGTTTCACTCTTGTTGCCCAGGATGGAGTGCAATGGCGCAATCTCGGCTCACTGCAACCTCTACCTCCTGGGTACAAGCAATTCTCCTGCCTTAGCCTCCTGAGTAGCTGGGACTACAGGTGTGTGCTACCACACCTGGCTAATTTTTGTGTTGTGTTTTTAGTAGAGATGGGGTTTCACCATGTTGGCCAGGCTGGTCTCAGACTCCTAACCTTAGTAATCCACCTGCCTTAGCCTCCTAAAGCGCTGGGATTATAGGTGTGAGCCACCACATCTGGCCAAGCTCCTACTTATAAGTGAGAACATGTAGTGTTTGTTTTTCTGTTCCTGTGTTAGTTTGCTAAGGATAATGGCTTCCAGTTCCATCATGTTCCTGCAAAGAACATGACCTCCTTTTTTTAATGGGTGCATAGTGTTCCATGCTGTATATGTACCACATTTTCTTAAATCTGTCACTGATGGACATTTAGGTTGATCCCATGTCTCTGCTGTTGTGAATAGTGCTGCAGTGAACATATGCATGCTGTATCTTTATGGCGGAATGATTTATATTCCTTTGGGTATCTACCCAATAATGGGATTGCTGGGTCAAATGGTAGTTCTGTTTGTAACTCTTTGAGCAATCACCAGACTACTTTCCTTACTGGTTGAACTAATTTACACTCCCACCGACAGTGTATAAGTGTTCCCTTTTCTGTACAACCTCACTGGTATCTGTGGTTTTTTGACCTTTTTTTTTTTTTTGAGATGGAGTTTCACTCTTGTTGCCCAGGCTGGAGTGCAATGGTACAATCTTGGCTCACTGCAACCTCCGCCTCCCAGGTTCAAATGATTCTCCTGCCTCAGCTCCTGAGTAGCTGGAATTACAGATGTGCATCACCATGCCTGGCTAATTTTTTTGTATTTTTATTAGAGACAGGGTTTTACCATTTTGGCCAGACTGGTCTTGAACTCCCAACCTCATGATCCACCATGCAGGGCCTCTTCTTTTGTCTTCTAGGGGAAAAAAAGTATCTTATCTTTGTATTCCTACTATCTGTCACCATCCCTGGCATATAATACATACTGAGCTGAAATGAGTAGACGTGGGTCAAGGAATCCCCAACATGGTTGGCAAAAGAAGCATACTTTTGATTTAATGAAGCCTTTTATATACTTTTACTTTTCCATCTAAGAGACACATTTGTAGGGAAGAACTGTCTTCATCATGCCCTTGATGTGCTAATTCTTGAGATTCCCCTGTCTTTTCTTATTTTATTTTTTCATAGAGATGGAGTCTTCCCATGTTGCTCATGCTGATCTCAAACTCCTAGGCTCAATGGATCCTCCTGCCTTGCCTCCTAAAGTGCTGGGATTACAGGTATGAGCCACCTTGCCTGTTTGAGATTCACCTTTCTAAAAGCAAAACATCTATCACTCCGTAATGATGTTAATCACTATCCTTCATCCAGGGCTTCCCATTCTCTACTGCTACAGTATATCCTGGGAATTTTGATCTGTTTAGAAGATAGGCTTTAAAAAATGGTAATGGCTGGGGGTGGTGGCTCACGTCTGTAATCCCAGAATTTTGGGAGGCCATGGTGGGTGGATCACTTGAGTTTAGGAGTTCAAGACCAGCCTGGGCAACATGGAGAGACCCTGTCTCTACTTAAAAAAAAAAAAAAAAAAAACAGGAGCCGCGTTGGCTCCGGCCAGTTGTCCTGGCGCTTGAGGAGGCGAGGCTATGAGTTCAAGGCCAACTTGAGCAACAAAACAAGCTCTCATTGATTAACCAAAAAAAAAAAAAAAAAAAAGGCAGTGCATGCCTGTAGTCCCAGCTATATGGGAGGCTGAGGTGGGAGGATGGCCTGAGCATAGGAGGCAGATGTCCCAGTGAGCCCAGATTGCACCAATACACTTCAGTCTGGGTGACACAGTGAGACCCTGTTGGAAAAAAAAGGCGTGGTGGTGGGTAACATGGATTTTTCTGTTACTTCTTCCATCAACCTGACTCAATTACTAAGGTGTCTATAATAACATATACATGCTATTTAGAAAAAAATAAGGCCAGGTGTGGTGGGTCATGCCTGTAATCCCAGCACTTTGGGAGGCCAAGGCAGGCAGATTACTTGAGGTCAAGAGGCTGAGACCATCCTGGCCAACATGGTGAAACCTGTTTCTACTAAAAATACAAAAATTAGCTGGGTGTGGTGGCAGGCCCCTATAATCCCAGCTACTCATGAAGCTGAGGCAGGAGAATTGCTTGAACCCATGAGGCAGAGGTCGCAGTGAGCTGAGGTCGTATGCCATTGAACTTCAGCCTGGGCAACAAAATCGAAATTCCATCTCAAAAAAAAAAAAAATTAAATACTTTTATTTTATTCTAAAGTTTTTTACTTATATTTAATAGTTATACATATTTTGGGGCTACATGTAATATTTTGATACATGTATACAATGTGTCATGATCAAATCAGAGTAATTTAGATATACATCACTTCAAACAACTTTCTTTTTTTTTCTTAAACACTGGTCTACTCAACTGAACAGAAGTTCAAACATGTTTTCTGCTTCTTGCAAAAAAAAATTTCTCTTTTTAAAATTTCCATTTTTTTAATATAAAAATATTTGAAGAGGTTGCTATAGCTGCACCTGTGCTGGTGCTGGAGATATATATGGTATCACTCCTTCCTCATGTGGTCATATTTTTTTGTTTTGTTTTTTTCTTTCTTTTTTAAGAGATGGGGTCTCACTATGTTGCCCAGGCTGGAGTGCAGTGGTTATTCACAGACCTGACCCTACTACTGATCAGCACGGGAGTTTTTACCTGCTCCATTTCCGATCTGGGCCGGTTCACCCCTCCTTAGGCAACCTGGTGGTTCCCCGCTCCCAGGAGGTCACCATATTGATGCTAAACTTAGTGCAGACACCTGATCAGCATAGGGCACTACAGCCCAGAACTCCTGGGCTCAAGCGATCCTCCCACTTCAGCCTCCCCAGTAGCTGAGACTACAGGCACGTGCCACCGCGCCCGGCGTCTGTTTTGTTTTTTTTGAGACAGTCTCAGCCGAGGCGGGTGGATCACGAGGTCAAGAGATCGAGACCATCCTGGTCAACATGGTGAAACCCCGTCTCTACTAAAAATACAAAAATTAGCTGGGCATGGTGGCGCGTGCCTGTAGTCCCATATATGTAATAACATATATATAACTATATATATATATAAAACATTAAAAACAAGTATATATATTTTTTGAGACACAGTCTCGCTCTTGTTGCCCAGGCTGGAGTGCAGTGGTGCAATCTCAGCTCACTGCAACCTCCGCCTCCCAGGTTCAAGCTATTCTGCCACCTCAGCCTCCAGAGTAGCTGGGATTACAGGCACCCACCACCATGCTGGTCTCCAACTCCTGACCTCAGGTATTCCACCTGCCTCAACCTCTGAAATTGCTGGGATTATAGGCGAGAGCCACCACGCCCAGCCGTTCAGGAATATATCTGATTCACTTTCTGCTGTGTCCCCAGTGTTGTCACAGTGCCAGGCGGCAGTTGGAGCTCCGTAAATAATCACCACATGAATAGGATGGCCACCCAGGACTCTGGGGAAAATGAGTATTACTCTTTGGTGCCTATTGACAGTTCAAGGCCCCAAGGTGTGTTCTAGGATGTCTTTGAGCAATAAGTGGTTAACTTACATGCAGGCCTCATATAACAGATTTGCTAAAGAGAACCTATTCACAGAGCAGTGATGCCCTTGATATTGTCAGCCAATTAATTCCTTAAGTACTTCAAGTTAGGAAAGGCCTGCTGATTTGATTTTATCTGTCTTTCAAGATTGATCTTTGATCATGTCCCATTCCAGCTGGACCTCCTCATCTTCCCTCCTCCACTGCTAATGGTGTGGGATCTAATTACCTCATCATCCCCTAATTTATTTATGAAAAGGCTGAGGTTAAAGAAAGAAGAAACTCTCTTTGGCCCTTTGGGGACCTTGTGTAAAAGCTTTCCTTTCTGTTTCTCCCCACTTAAGCACAATAAAACCTCCTTTTTTAAAAACCTCCTTTTTTGGTCTCTGGCAAGTTAGAATAGTTATTGTTTACAAATTTAACTAAATTTTTTTTTTTTTTCAAAGGGTTTCTCTCACATTGCTTTGATGGCCTGTAAATTTAACTAAATTAAACTTCCCTCCCAGGGCTGGGTGCAGGCCAACCCCTTGGATTAAGCCTGGCGGGTGGACTCCCCCTGGAATAATCAATCTATCAAAACAACCCATTGATCTTGAGGCAAACCGCTTTTAAAACCACCACACAGTTCCTGGACGTCCTGGCTTCCTCTCCATGTGACACTTGGGGAAGAGGAGTCTTTTTAAATTTTATTATTACACATGTAATACATGGATACATTCATCTTGTAAAAATTTAACTACAAAATTCTGTGGAATAAAATGTGAAAGGCTTCTTTCCTTGCATCCCGTCCCAGTGTTAAGAGTTTCTGAGGCCGGGCGCGGTGGCTCAAACCTGTAATCCCAGCACTTTGGGAGGCCGAGGCGGGTGGATCACGAGGTCAAGAAATCGAGACCATCCTGGTCAACATGGTGAAACCCCGTCTCTACTAAAAATACAAAAAATTAGCTGGGCACGGTGGCGCATACCTGTAATCCCAGCTACTCGGGAGGCTGAGGCAGGAGAATTGCTTGAACCCAGGAGGCGGAGGTTGCTGTGAGCCGAGATCGTGCCATTACACTCCAGCCTGGGTAACAAAAGCGAAACTCCGTCTCAAAAAAAAAAAAAATTCTGATGTATTTTTCTGTCTAGGCCTTTAAGCAATGCACGTTCATACATGCACGCCTATATAAATGTACATCTAATTTTTAGAATAACATAAATGGTTATCACTACATAGATGCCGTTCCGCTAGTTGTGTCTTTTCCCATTTAACATGTCCTGGAGATCAAGTAAAAACACAGGTCTACGTTTTAATGGATGTAATATTTCAAAAACAGGATAGAGATATTATTCATTTATCTATTTTCCTACTTATGGGTGTTAATATAGTTTCCAATTTTTTGGCATTACAAGCTATGTTGCGAGCAGAGTTCTCTGGGAATTATCCATTTACGTATGCACTTACTGTGGGCTCCCCATGTGCTCTACTTGGGGATTGGAGTAAACAAAACAGACATAAAAATAGTTTTGAATGATAGGATGGGGGAATTTTCTTTTTCCAAGGGGGTGAGACAGGCTCAAGATGGGTCTCTATGCCCTCGCAAGACCAAAGAGGCCGTCGGGATGTCAACCCGGCTGTGAAAAGGGGAACCCAGGACCCGCAGATGCTGGCGAGGAACACGGGTGCAGAGCACATGAGTCGGCTTGGGGTCTCCAGCCCGAGGCGTTCAGTACCACGCAGGGCGAGAGGAGCGGATCACGCCGGGCGGGGCCGAGCTGCGCGCGACCCTCCGCGCGCTCGGAGACGCCCAGACCGGGGCAGCCTCTCTGGCCCCCGGCTCCCGCGGGCTCTATGACACCGCACTGGCTCGTGGGACGGGGCGGGGTCAGCTGACGGGGAGGAGGTGGCCCCACGCTATACGTATCGCGCTGACCCTTACGTGACTCTCTCGCGAGAATTCGAAGTACCGCGCCTGCGCACTGCAGTAGCGCCTAGTGCCGGTGGCAGTTTGCCCGCGGGTGTGTGAAGAGAGACAGTCAGTGTGGAGGCCACAGGGTACTCGCCAGGATGAGCAGCACCTTAGCTAAGATCGCGGAGATAGAAGCTGAGGTAATGGACGCAGCTGGCGCTTCACTCAGTCGGAGCATCCCTTCTCGGTGGCGTCGCTCTTGTTCTCGGTTGAACCGCGTCAGGACCCGGCCTAGATTCCGCGACTTCTCTTAGCGAGGCCGGTGTTCCGACTGCTGTCAGCCACGACTCGGAGTCTCAGACTCTCCTCAGCCGGGAGGAGAGTCTCCTCCTCCTTTCCCCTTGTCCCGCGGCCACGCTCCTGAACTCCCCTTTGCCGGGGCCCGCGTTCCGCACCCCCGCATCTTAGGCCCTGGGTCGGTACCCCCTCCCAGTGTTCAGTTCCTGTTCTGAAATTGTTTCTTTCCGTTCTTCTTTTTTCCTCTGAGCAACACTGAATACTGTCCCTTATTCCATCTCTGGCTTGGTAAGATACTTAAGGATCTTTCCTCATCATCCCTCGCTAGGTCCTCCTTATTTCCCCTTTTCCCAGTCGCTACCCCAATGACCCCTGATGAGAGTATTTGTTCCGGTAATCGGAAATGGAAGTAAAATGACATCTGTCTGGGAGCAGTTTATTCCACCTGGATAGTGTGTGATTCCGTTGCCTGCGGCCCTCAGAGTGCTTTACAATTAGGAAAGTGGTGTCCCTGTGTAGTCAGATGGGGCCTAACGGCTACAAACAGTAGAAAAGGAACCCACAGATGGGTTTTAGTCTAGTCTGGGGGCACTAACTGGAATGACCTGAATCTTGTCTCTTCTCTTTGCCCCTCACTTTGCTCTGTATTGAGGGAAATGAACTGGATTGGGGAGGGAATGGACTTTTACTCTTTTGAAGCCTCTAAAATGGTTATGCTGACATTAGTAGGACTTGGGTAAAAAAAAATATTCTCTCAGAGCTGGGGGAAGCATTCATTCCGGATATTTTTACCCTGTTAGGAACTGCTTCTGATTTATGGCTGTGATTCTTCCCTTATAGATGGCTCGGACTCAAAAGAACAAGGCCACAGCACACCACCTAGGGCTGCTTAAGGCTCGTCTTGCTAAGCTTCGTCGAGAACTCATTACTCCAAAGGGTGGTGGTGGTGGAGGTCCAGGAGAAGGTTTGTGTTTTTCTTCTATATATATATTTTTAGGCATAATTTCTGTCAAAATAGTACATACATGTGGTTTAAAAATAACTAAAGATGGCCCAGTGCAGTGGCTCAACTTCTGCAATCCTGGCACTTTGGGAGACTGAGATGGATCACTTGAGGTCAGGAATTCAAGACCAGCCTGATCAATATAGAAAGACCCCCATCTCAAAAAAAAAAAGTTTGTTTTTTTTGTGTGTGTGTGTACCAGAGTTTTGCTCTTGTTGTCCAGGCTGGTGTGCAATGGTGTGATCTCGGCTCACCGCAACCTCCACCTCCTGGGTTCAAATGATTCTGCCTCGGCCTCTTGAGTAGCTGGGATTACAGGCATGCACTACCACACCCAGCTAATTTTTTTATATTTTTAGTAGAGATGGGGTATTTCGTTGTTGGTCAGGCTGGTCTCAAACTCCTGACCTCAGGTGATCCACTTGCCTTAGCCTCCCAGAGTTCTGGGATTACAGGTGTGAACCACCATGTCTGGCCAAAAAAAGTTTTTTTAAACGAGAAAAATAACTAAAGATGTTGTACTGAATGAGATTTATATTTTCTAAGTATGAATTCTTGAACTATGTTTGTTTGTTTGTTTACTTATTTGAGATGGAGTTTTGTTCTTACTGCCCAGGCTGGAGTGCAATGGCGCAGTCTCTGCTCACCACAACCTCCACCTCCCATGTTCAAGCGATTCTCCTGCCTCAGCCTCCCGAGTAGCTGGGATTACAGGCATGTGCCACCATGCCTGGCTAATTTTGTATTTTTTAATAGAGATGGAGTTTCTTCATATTGGTAAGGCTGGTCTTGAACTCCCGACCTCAGGTGATCTGCTTCCTCAGCCTCTCAAAGTGCTGCGATTACAGGCCAGAGCCACCACGTCCAGCTGAACTATGTTTATTTTTATTCTGCTGGTTTCAGAGGCAAATGGATATTGTTTAAGTGTACTGTAGTTTTATTTATATTCTGCACTGATACAAAATAGATTTACATGTGCTGGGTGCAGTGGTTCATCCTTGTAATCTCAGCATTTTGGGAGGCTGAGGTGGGAGGATTGCTTGAGGCCAGGAGTTTGAAACCAGCAAGACCCTGTCTCTACAGGCTTATGAATGAAGGGTCCCCCTGGGTATGAAAGATGTGCAAAAAAAAAAAAAAAATTGGGCCGGGCGCGGTGGCTCAAGCCTGTGATCCCAGCACTTTGGGAGGCCAAGGCGGGTGGATCTCGAGGTCAACAGATTGAGAACATCCTGGTCAACATGGTGAAACCCCGTCTCTACTAAAAATACAAAAAATTAGCTGGGCATGGTGGCGCGTGCCTGTAATCCCAGCGACTCAGGAGGCTGAGGCAGGAGAATTGCCTGAACCCAGGAGGCGGAGGTTGTGGTGAGCTGAGATTGCGCCGTTGTACTCCAGCCTGGGTAACAAGAGTGAAACCCCGTCTCAAAAAAAAAAAATTAGCCTAATGTGGTGGTGCATGCCTGTGGTCTCAGCTACTTGGGAGTCTGAGTTGGGAGGATTGCTTGAACCTAGGAGGTAGAGGCTGCAGTGAGTTGTGATGGGGCCACTGCACTTCAGCCTGGGTGATAAAGCGAGATCTCATCTTGAGAAAACCAAAGTAGATTTACATTGGCTTACAGAAATATGTAAATCTGTACCGTCAACAAGGTTAAAAATAAGTAAGGACTTTGATGCAAAGGGAAAATGAAGATAGGAAAAATAAGTTGAAGCCAAGAGAGGTAAGATTAGGACTAAAAGGGATGGCAAAAGACCTGTGCACTTGCTAGACAAGGGCCACAAATTTGACTCTGAACTTGTTTGCAGCCATTGTAAAAAAATGAAAACCCAGTCAGTCATGCAATTTACAGAGTTTGTAAGACAAAAAAACAACTCTTTTTAATTAATTAATTAATTGTAATTATTAAAAGGATAGCTGCTCCATAGGCAGAGCAGGGCTACAAGAGTAGCTAACAACCCTATTTTTGGATCATTTTTTATATATATTTGGGCTGTACTTTCTTTTCTTTCTTTTTTTTGGAGATAGAGTCTCGCTCTGTTGCCCAGGTTGGAGTACAGTGGTGTGATCACAGCTCACTGCAGCCTCAACCTCCTGGGCTCAAGTGATTCTCCCATCTCAGCCTCTCAAGTACCTGAGACCTACAGGTGTATGCCACCATGCCTGGCTAATTTTTAAATTTTTTTTATAGAGACAAGATTTTGGCATGTTGCCCGCTTGATCTGAATTTCTGGGCTCAAGAGATCCTCCTGCCTTAGCCTCTGGAATAGCAAGGGCTATAGATGTGTGCCACTGCTTGACTTTTTTGAATACAGGTTTTATATCAAACACTTCACTGAATTTTGTGAATTGCTATGCCCTCAAGTTTCTACTTTAAAGGTTAACCATAAAAAGTTTGAGAAATAATGCCTAAAGGGATAGGCAGTTAAAATGTGAAAGAAATTATGAGTTTTGCCATGTGCAGTGGCTCACGCCTGTAATCCCAGCACTTTGGGAGGCCGAGGTGGGTGAATCATTTAAGGTTGGGAGTTCAAGACCAGCCTGACCAACATGGAGAAACCCCGCCTCTACTAAAAATACAAAATTACTCAAGTGGTGGTGCATGCCTGTAATCCCAGCTACTCGGGAGGCTGAGGCAGGAGAATCACTTGAATCTAGGAGGCGGAGGCTGTGGTGAGCCAGGATTGCACCACTGCACTCCAGGGTGGGCAACAAGAGTGAAACTCTGTCTCAAAAAAAAAAGAAATTATGAGTCTTAATACTCTTGGGGAATAACTCTCCTCTTTTTGGTATTCATTGATGTTTTAGGTTTTGATGTGGCCAAGACAGGTGATGCTCGAATTGGATTTGTTGGTTTTCCATCTGTGGGGAAGTCAACATTGCTTAGTAACCTGGCAGGGGTGTATTCTGAGGTAGCAGCCTATGAATTCACTACTCTGACCACTGTGCCTGGTGTCATCAGATACAAAGGTGCCAAGATCCAGGTGAGTCAAGTCTGCAGACTAAGGAAGGAAATAAATCTATTCCTCATTTAGGAAGAACTGTATTGGGAGCTCACTCTATGCCAGGCCTGATCTTTGATCTACTAGGTACTTACTGCCTAGTAGGGGAAATAGAGCACTACAAAAATAGAATAATCCAATGGGATAGTGCATGTAAAAATGCAGAGAAAGGGCTGGGCACGATGGCTCACGCCTGTAATCCCAGCACTTTGGGAGGCTGAGGAGAGCAGATCACCTTAGGTTGGGAGTTTGAGACGACCCTGACTAACATGGAGAAACCCCGTCTCTTCTAAAAATACACAATTAGCCTGGTATGGTAGTGTATGCCTGTAATTCCAGCTACTCGGGAGGCTGAGGCAGGAGAAGTGCTTGAAACCAGCAGGCGGAGGTTGCAGTGAGCTGAGATAGCACCGTCACACTCTAGCCTGAGCAGTGAAAGCAAAATTTGATCTCAAAAAAAAATGTAGAGAAAGAAGGGACTACTTTTTCACCTGAGGGCAGAGGAGGGGGCTTCCTCTTGGGAGACAAAGAAGGCTTCCTGTAGAAAGTGACATTGGAGGTGGGTCTTGAAGTTAGATTCCACCAGGTAGAGAAGGATGAGAAAAGCATTTCAGGCAGCAGTAATGTTGAACAACCTGCTGTGGTACAAGATTAGGTGTGGGGCAAGAGTAGTGAAAGCTGAATTATGAAAGAGCCTGTGTACCTGCTGAGGAAGTTGAATTTTATCTTGTATGTGGCTAGGAACCTCAGAAACTTTAAAATAAGTAAATAACATGATCAGACCCCCTTTTTTTTTTTTTTGAGGCGGAGTTTCGCTCTTGTTACCCAGGCTGGAGTGCAATGGCGCGATCTCGGCTCACCGCAACCTCCGCCTCCTGGGTTCAGGCAATTCTCCTGCCTCAGCCTCCTGAGTAGCTGGGACTACAGGTGCGCGCCACCATGCCCAGCTAATTATTTGTATTTTTAGTAGAGACGGGGTTTCACTCCATGTTGGCCAAGCTGGTCTTGATCTCTTGACCTCGTGATCCACCCGCCTCGGCCTCCCAAAGTGCTGGGATTACAGGCTTGTACCACCGCGCCTGGCCTGACTGAAGTCTTATAAAGGGTAACTTTTAATGTATATGACTCATAAATAACAAATATACATTAAAAAACGAGACAGAAAAACTGCACTGCAGCCTGGGCGATAGAGCGAGACTCTTGTCTCAGGAAAAATAAAAAGTTAGGTGCCTGGTGGCGCCTGTAATCTCAGCTACTTGGGAGGCTGAGGCAGGAGAATTGCTTGAACCAGAGAAGCAGAGGTTGCAGTGAGCCAAGATCATGCCATTGCACTCCAGCCTGCACAAAAAGCAATAAAACTTTAATCTCAAAAGAAAAAGCCTTTAGATGATATTTAGTAGATACTTTGTAAAAGTAATATTTACACACCCACTTATAAGGGAGATTGGATTTGGGTCTGATAAATTATAGGTACTTGAAAAATAAATTATTCTGTTTCATATTTCCAAATTTATAACTAGTTTTTTCTTTCATCCTCTTCCTTCATCCTTAATCTTGCAGCTCCTGGATCTCCCAGGTATCATTGAAGGTGCCAAGGATGGGAAAGGTAGAGGTCGTCAAGTCATTGCAGGTGAGTGGTTGAGTACCACTATCCTGGGATATCATCCCCTTCTCTGGTATTATTCCTTTATTCAGGGACTATTAGGCTTGAAGATCATACCACAGTGAAGGGCACAGTTTCACCTGACTTCTCATTAGAGGTGAAACTTGAAGGGACCTCCGCTGCAGCTGTGGCAGTGTTCTGAATCTGTGCTGTCCAACATTGTAGCTCCTAGGCATGTATGGGTATAGAGCTCTTGAAATGTGCCTAGTACAATTAAGGAGCTAGTGGATGGGGTCTGTATTGGACAATGCAGCTGTAGACATTTTACATGGCTGTCATCCTGAGATTTTCTGCTCTTTTCTTGTGTGGGATCTTCCATTTCCTAGAGGCAGTGTGTACTTTTTTGGGATGTTTTGCTGGCATACATTCTTTAATAACTTCCCCAGAGAAGATGAATGATAAAGGTACATTTTTCTGTCTTTTCATGGCTTTTTTTTTTGTCGGGGAAGGAGGACAGAGTATCACTCTGTCACCCAGACTGGAGTGCAGTAGCGCAGTCTTGGCTCACTGCAGCCTCTTTCTCCTGGGTTCAAGCGATCCTCCTTCCTCAGCCTCCTAGGTAGCAGAGACTACAGATGTGTACCACTGACTAATTTTGTGTGTGTGTTTTTTTGGTAGAGACAGGGTTCCATCATGTTGCCCAAACTCCTGAGCTCAAGTGATCTACCTGCCTCGAACTCCTAGAGTACTATCTTTTCACGTTTTAAGGTTATTTTTTTATTTTTTATTTTTGAGACAGAGTTTCGCTCTTGTTACCCAGGCTGGAGTGCAATGGCACGATCTGCGCTCACTGCAACCTCCGCCTCCTGGGATCAGGCAATTCTCCTGCCTCAGCCTCCCGAGTAGCTGGGATTACAGGCACACGCCACCATGCCCAGCTAATTTTTTGTATTTTTAGTAGAGACGGGGATTCACCATGTTGACCAGGATGGTCTCGATCTCTTGACCTCGTGATCCACCCGCCTCGGCCTCCCAAAGTGCTGGGATTACAGGCGTGAGACACCGCGCCCGGCCTAAGGTTATTTTTATTTTACCCTTGTACTGGAGTCATTAATTTGGCTGTTTATAGAATTATAATTTAGAAGTCATTTTCCCTCAGAAATTTGAAAAACACCATTTTCTAACATCTACTATTGCTGTTGAGTCAAGTAGTTAGAACATCTTTTGGCTTTTGATAATCAACTTTTTTCCCATACTGGAAGATCTTAAAAGCTACTTACTTCAGCAAGCTATTTATTTGTTTGGGCTTTTTCTTTTTCTCTCTTTTCTTTAATTCATTTTGCTGGATATTTTGTGGACCCTTTTGTTTTTTCTTTTTTTGAAACAGGGTCTCACTCCCATACCCAGACTGGAATGTGGTGGTGAGATCTTGGCTCACTGCAGCCTCGACTACTGGGCTCAGGTGATCCACCTCAGCCTCCTGAGTAACTGGGACTACAGGTGCGTGCCACCATACTTGTTTAATTTTTTTTTGTTTTTAGTAGACACAAGGTTTTGCCATGTTGCCCAGGCTGCTTTTTTTTTTTTAATTCTCTTTCCCTTTCATGGTGTGGTGGATTCTTTCAGCATGACAACTCATATCTTTCATTTATGGGAAATTTTCCTGTTTTCTTTGGTAATTTCTTCTATTTTCTTATTTATGGAAGGTTTGCTAATAGAATGCTGGACTTCTGGGTTTATAATTTTTGTAATTTCTTTTTTTATAAAGACAGGGTCTCACTTTGTCACCGAGGCTGGAGTGTAGCAGTCTGACTGTATGTAGCTCACTGTAACCTGGACGCAGACAATCTTCCCGTGTCAGCTTTCGGAGTAGCTAGGACTACAGACACATAAGACCATGGTGGGCTAATTTTTAAATTTTTTTTTTTTTTTTTTTTGAGACAGAGTTTCGTTCTTGTTACCCAGGCTGGAGTGCAGTGGCGTAGTCTCAGCTCACTGCAACTTCCGCCTCCTGGGTTCAGGCAATTCTCCTGCCTCAGTCTCCTGAGTGGCTGGGATTACAGGCACGTGCCACCATGCCCAGCTAATTTTTTGTATCTGTAGTAGAGACGGGGTTTCACTATGTTGACCAGGATGGTCTTGATCTCTTGACCTTGTGATCCACCCGCCTCGGCCTCCCAAAGTGCTGGGATTACAGGCGTGAGCCACCGCACCCAGCCCCAATTTTTAAAATTTTTTGTAGGGGTCTTGCTCTGTTGCTTAGGCTGATCTTGAACTCCTGGGCTCAAGTCATCCTCCTGCCTTGACCTTCCAAAGTGTTGGGATCACAGGTGTGAGCCGTTGTGCTTGGCCCTTTTTATGTTTTAAATTGTCTTTCATCTCTTAATTTTTTCTGTATGTGATTTTCTTGGCATTGTCTTTTAATCCTGCTATTGAGTGTATTTCTGCTGTAGTATGATTTTTAATTTCTAAGACTTTGTTTCTGTCTTCAGATTTTTCCTTTATTAGCATCTTGTTCTTGTTAAATGGATGCATTATTTTTTCTTAGACTCTTTTCTGTGTTTTTTTTTGACATGAAGTGTCACTCTTGCCCGGCTGGAGTGTAATGGCTGGATCTCAGCACACTGCAAACTCTGCCTCCTGGGTTCAACTGATTTTCCTGCCTCAGCCTCCTGAGTAGCTGGGATTACAGGCGCCTGCCACCATGCCCAGCTAATTTTTGTATTTTTAGTAGAGACTGGGTTTCACCATGTTGGCTAGGCTGGTCTCAAACTCCTGACTTCAGATGATCCATCCACCTTGGCCTCCCAAAGTGTTGAGATTACAGGAGTGAGCCACTGCGCCCTCCTGACTCTTATGTATTCTTACAAGGACACATATGACTTCCCCATTGTCAAACCTAAGGGCCAATTTATTGTCCACATCTTTCTAACGAGAGTAACATACTAGATCTTTCCCTCCTTGAAGTATTTGCTTTGCTTGGTCTCTGATACCAGTTCCTCTTACTGGTCTCCTTTGCTTGATTTGTCCCATCATCAAGATCTCTAAATGTGGATTGCCCCGATGCCTATTCTTAGAGATTCTTTTCTTTTCTGTCTCTGCTCTGTCTATGCCAAATGAGGGTTATTTCATCTAGTTCTTTGGCTTAAATGTCTGGATCTATATGCTGATGATTGTGAAATGTGTGGCAGTATTTTGCCCTCTGATGAACTACAGACCAGCTGCCAACATATCTTTACTTGGATATCTAATTAGGTGTCTCAAACTTAGCATGTGTAAGATTAAATTCTTGTTTCAGCCAAGGTGGGAGGAACACTTGAGCTCAGGAGTTTGAGACCAGCCTGGGCAACATAATGTTACCTCATCTCTATTGAAAAATGAAAGTAAATTTAAAAATTAAAAAACAAATTCTTCATCTCCCATCCTCAACTTGCTCTTCCCTTAGTCTTTTCTGTATCAGTAAAGGCAAATTTATTCTTCAGATCTTTTAGGTCAAATCTTTATTTTCCTTTCATCCCCCATATCCACTTCATTATATCCAGTTGGTTTTACCTTTGAAATATATCTAGAGGCCAGCCAATTTTTTTTCCCCTCTTTTTCGTCCTTAACTGAAAAGCATTGAGTTATGTGACTGACATGCTGGCTACTATGCTAAGGAGGAAACTCTACCAAAAGGTTTAGTTAATCATACTCCTCAGTTCCTGGCACATTTTCCTTTGTTTTTTTTAGAGACAGGGTCTTGCTTTCTTGCCGAGGCTGGAGTACAGTGTCACGATCACAGCTCACAGCAGCCTTAATCTGGAATCAGGCGATCCTTACTCCTCAGCCATCTTGAGTAGCTAGGACTACAGGCATGTACCATCTTGCCTGGCTAATTTTTTGCTTTTTGTAGAGACAGTCTCTCTATGTTGTTCAGGGTGATCTTGAAAACCCCGGGCTCCAGAGATCCTCTCTCCTCAGCTTGAGTAGCTGGGACTACAGGCATTTACCACCGTGGAAGGCTAATTGATTTTTACTGTTTTAGAGGTAGAATCTTGATATGTTGCCCAGGTAGTGATTATCTTTCTCATTATTTTTCAAGAATTTCTCTTAAGTTCTATGTCTAATATGATACCTACTAGCTATATGTGACTAAAATTAGTGGAATAAAATTTAAAATTTAGTTCTTCAGTTACGTAAGCCACATTTTGTATGCTTATTAGCTACACGTGACTAGTAGCTACTGTATTGGACAGTATAGATGCAGAATATTTTCATTATTGCAGAAACTTCTATTGGATAACACTGCTCCTGATATTAATTCCTTGTCAGCTTTGGACATTACAAGTATCTTCTCCAATTAATTTTGTCCAAGGCGATATTTGTTGAATAAAAATCCTTAATTTTGGTAGAATCTAGTTTACTGTTTATTTGTAGCTGGGACCACAGGTGTGCACCACCATGCCTGGCTAATTTTTTGTATTTTCAGTAGAAACGGGGTTTCGCCCTATTGGCCAGGCTGGTCTTGAACTCCTGACCTGAAGTGATCTGCCTGCCTTGGTCTCCCAAAGTGCTGGGATTACAGGTGTGAGCACCTGGCCTATTCTTTATTTTTTCTTATGGTTTGTGCTTTTGAGGTTTTATTTAAGACATCTTTATCTTGGCCAGTTGCTATGGCTCATGTCTGTAATCCAAGAACTTTGGGAGCCCAAGTGACAGAGTGAGACTCCATCTCAAAAAAAAAAATTAATAAATAAAATAATTTCCAGTTACCTTGGTCACTTTCTCCCTTTTTTTTTTTTGAAATGGAGTCTTGCTCTTGTTACCCAGGCTGGAGTGCAATGGCATGATCTTGGCTCACCTCAACCTCTGCCTCCCGGGTTCAAGTGATCCTCCTGCCTCAGCCTCCCAAGTAGTTGGGATTACAGGCATATACCACCAAGCTCAGCCAACTTTTGTATTTTTAGTAGAGATGAGGTTTCTCTATGTTGGTCAGGTTGGTCTTGAACTCTTGACCTCAGGTGATATTCCCACCTTGGCCTCCCAAA